GAGTGGTTCGGGCTCTGGGTTTCGGATGCAGCGCTGGTCGGTTCCAAGGGTTTCAAGGGTTTCAAGGGATTCAAGGGTTTAGGGTTTTATAGGGTTTAGAGTTTAGGGTTTAGGGGTTTAGGGTTTTATAGGGTTTAGGGTTTAGGGCTTAGGGCTTTGGGTTTGGGGTTTGGGGGCTCAGGGTTTCAGGCTCATAGAGATAGGAATTAAGAGACCCTTAGAGATATAGACCCTCTCAACAAGGTCCCTTTTTAAGAGAGCCATAAGTAGAGTTACGAAGGGTCCCTTTTAAGGGGCCTCCCTAATACTACCTAGGCCAGGATGCCGATCGTCTTCAGTTTGGGGGTTTGGGGGTTTAGGGCTGAGCGTTGAGGGTTTAGGTCTAGGCTTCAGGAGCGTGGAGTTCAGCAACCAGGGGGTCTACAGTGACGACGGGTCACGGGTCCGAAACTGAGTAAGTGACCACAAAATACAATCGCTAGGTAGTAGAATCCTCACCCTCAGTAGCCCTGTAGAGCCGTAAACTGACCCTGCTTTCAAAAAAACCCTAAACCCCTCAACCCTAAACCCTATAAACCCTTAACCCTAAACCCTAGCCCTAAACCCTAAACCCTAAACCCTATAAACCCTAAACCCCTAAACCCTCAACCCTAAACCCCCACGGAAAACCCTGAAAAGTCCGTGGAAAACCCGAAAATCCAGGCACCTGAGGCCGCCAGCTGCGCCGACTTCGTCGCTCGAAAGTCCTCGCCGGCTGCGAGACGCACGGGGTCGCAGTGATCCTTGACGGTTTAAGGTTCAGGGTTTACGGATAAGGATTAGGGTTTAGAGCTTAGGGTTTAGGGTTTAGGGTTAAGGGCCTAAACCCTAACCCTAAACTTAAACCCTAAACCCTAAACCCCAAACCGTAGGAATTAGGGTTTAGGGTTTTGGGGATTAGGGTTTGGGGGTCGGGGCTTGCTTCAGGGGTTTCGGGTCTCGACATTAGGGTTCAGGATACCTGCTCCAGGTTTGGGTTTAGGCGGTTTTATCCTAAACCCTGAACCCTGAACCTTAAACCTCAAAACCTTAACACGAAGGTTTCGGAATGTTGAGAGCTTTAAGGCTTTGGGATCATCAGGTTCTCGGTCTAGGCTTTGGGCCTTCGGTCTACAAGGTTTAGGGTCTAGGGTTTAAGGCTTAGGCTTTAGAGTTTAGGGTTTAGGGTTTAGGGTTTGAAGTTTAGGGGTGGTCCAGAGCATAAATTGGAGTTTGAAGGGTTGGCCCCTTGGCCTGCAATCTAATGTAATAGAATACAACCTGATATAATATAATACTACTACAACTATTGTCATTATTATTATTATTGCCATTACTATTCCTGTTTTGTTATTATCACTTCTACTATGCTATGTCTATAAAGCCCGTGACCACAGACTGCGCCCCAGGGTCCAGGATGGAATCGATGAAGGGCTGAAAGACCTCACGGTTGATGCCGGAGGAGTAAAGCTCCTCCGGCGCCAAGGACGGTGTAGGGTTTAGGGTTTAGGGTTTAGGGTTTAAATTTTAGAGTTTAGGGTTTAGGGTTTAGGGTTTTGGGTGGGTAAAGCTCCTCCGGCGCCAAGTTGGAAGTCGCCACGACAGTGCCCCCGGCCTGGGGCGTCGAGGCTTTCGGGGTTAAGGGGTTTCGGGGTTTCGAGGTTTGGGGAATTCGGGGTTTAGGGTTTCCTATTTTAGGGTTTAGGGTTTGGGATTTCGGGGTTAAGGTCCTAAGCTTTCAGATTTTAGGGCCTAAGGAGGCCCAAAAGGTTTACGGTGCTAGAGCCCTGAATGAAAGTGTGTAGATGAATACTAATTTGTTCAGACTCAGTTAAGTGGACGAGTCTGCGATATATTACGAGAAATGCTCAAGCTTCATCACGACTGAAGTCGTGTGCATTGCTACGACTCCATCTGTCTATACGTTCCCTCTCGGTGTAGCTGCTGTATACCTTAATCAACCATCGCTGCCTTGAAGAGGTGCTTAAAGAAAGAGCACATCAGCAGCGCATCTCCGACGTTCAGGACGTGGCATTCGTCGAAGCAGAGCAGCGGCGTGGAAGAGACAAATTCCTGCGCTACCAGAGCCAACGGATCTGCCATCTTGCCCACATCCTCCAAGAAGCTTCGTTTCCGCCAACCGCGAACATAATGGGAATATGTGCTAAGAAAAATAAATGCCTTTGTAGTTCAGGCAAGTTAAGTTAAGCTATGAAATATTACATAATATCCCTTCATACAACCGAAAACCCCGTCCTTCCGGATTCGATGCCTGAGATGCGAAGCAGTTAGGGTTTAGGGCAGAGGGACAATACTTCGGGTTCTGCTGTCTCATGCTACATGATGTTGAAAAGCCTGCACTGCGCTATGCCATACCAAACTCCAACTGCAGCAGTGCATTGTTAGCATGCTAAAGTCCGCAATAGTTCCGTGATGAGATGCTGTTTCTGACCTTGTGATTCGGCCTCGTACGGTTCAGGGTCTCGGGTTTAGGGTTTAGGGCTTCAGGGTTTAGGGTTTAGGGGTAATCGAAAATCTTCGCACACGTTGATGCAGCCAGTGCCTCCTAAACTTCTGAATGGCAAAATCTGAGTAAATCCTTCCCAGCTACAGGCTTTTGTTCATGTCCAACATGAAGTCGTGGAAGTGAGCTCTGTGGCTTGCCACACCCTGCTCACGGACACGGTCATAGAACATGTCCATCATCATGGTCTTTCCAGCCCCGGGATCACCGTAGATGTAGATGCCTTCAAGGAGGTTTCGGGGCTTCGCGTTTAGGGTTTGGGGTTTAGGGTTTGGGGTTCAGGGCTTAACGTTGAAGGTGCCAGCCCAGAGCTCGGAGGCAGTCTTTTGGAGCAGCTCCCAAGTCTCACACGAACCCCAACAGCTCCCAAATTTGTTTAGCAGAACTGCCTCAGATAAAATGTTCTACATAAACCTTGTGACATCGATTGTGAGCTGCTGTGCAAGAAGGCGCTTTCAACACTAAACCGTTCATGCCTGCACCCTGCGACCGTAAACCCCAGCGGTCCTACCTCTGGGTTGGGATCGCTTGGACGATGTCAGCTCCCTATGCAGCAAGTCCAAACGCTCCAAGCACGGCAATTGCGCGGCAGTGTACCGTCGTGTTCCCGTCGCCACCTGCGATTCCGTAATTACCCACCAATACCCACGTTGAGGCTTCTATTTGCCCAACATATTGCAACTTTACCTTGCTTGGACCTACTTTATATACTTGGATCAAACTCTACTTTCCACGGGTTTAATGAAGTATACGATTTTACGTCCGGCTGACCGACTTGCAGTTAGACTTGGCCGCAAAAGGGGTGCCCAAGATCATCTTGCTTTGTGTGGCTGTTTATCTTGTTGCAAAATGGAGTTCGTTTGATCAACACAAAACACAAACATGCAGGGTTGCAGCCATGCACATGCAACTCGTTACATCCTGCACCTGCGACTGATACATCTCTATCAGTGACAAGCCATTTGCCGGAGCAGAAAGCCAACGAAAACGATGTCCATGGACTTTGGAAGATCGCAGATGAGTTTGCGGCAAGGACATCCGGCCCCATGGCATCATATGCGCAGCCATCTTGTTGATGGACATGGTACGTTGGGCCGGTGAATGCTGGCTAATTTGCTTTTTTGAAGGTGAGACATGTGACACCAGCACGTCTCGTCTTGTCATCTCCGGGATGAATCTCAAACTGTCGCTTCCAACAACAGACATAAATCTCAAGTGGCAATTTGTGTTGCTTGCAACATGCTCCACCAACTGCTATGGTCTAGTTGAGCCCAGATTCGACACAATGCTGTTCAAAAGCGACAACTTGAATAAATAACAAATCGAACAGTATCAAACGACACTCTGCATATGGTCCCGTGCTTCCGGGATTGTGCAAGTTGCACTGCACTTTGGGAACACGAATCCTACCTCTTTGAAGCCTCTTGATCACACCTCACTTTCAATTTCCTAAAGCAACGACGTCGCTTCAGCGCTTTCTCACTGCTCCAAAGCCATGTCAGTTCAGCATTTCTTTCCGTTGACCAATTCATCGCTTGAAATTTGTGTCTAAGCTCAATGCTGTTTTTTAGTGATCCGACAAGGCAATTTCATTGCTATCTGTCAAAATGAAGTCGATAGCGTTCAATGGTAAATGTTGTCGCACCGAGACTGTTGACTGCAAATTCTTTTGTGGCGCTCATCTTGGTGTGACACACCAATTGGTTCGAAAAAAACAGTAGCTAAAGCCAAAACCCCTGAGCGATCTTGAAAGCCAGCCGCCGACGTTTGAACTG